AGATGGAATAGCTAGTTACTGAACGTCGTGTAGTAATGTCTCTAGCCCAATCTGCGTCGCAGTACCCAATTAAACTCAAATCACCTTTTAAAGGAAAAAATAATCCTTGCCCCGGTGAGCCTTTTAAGTACTGAAGTATACGATAGGATGCATCAAGATGAGGTCGCCTAGGTTCTTACATGAACTAGCTAAGGGTGTTGACCGAAAAAGAAATCTCCGGCCTGGTGATGGTTAAGTAAATTAACTTCCCAACCAGTCGTCAATAATGTATCGGATCTTTAAGTAAGTCACCGTCGGTAGAAGTGAGCTTCAATGATTGTTCCATGGGAAACTTCGCAGGCTTTGCACCTAGTAACCCTGCTTTTTAGAGAATGTCAAGAGTATACTTCCGCTGGTTGATAGAAATGCCCATTTTAGAGCGAGCTATTTCAACCCCAAGGAAGTACTTCAGTTGTCTAAGATCCTTCAGTTTGAAGCAAGATGCAAGAAAATTCTTCACATTGTTGATGGGCTTTTGATCATTTCCTGTTATAATCATGTCTTCAACATATAACAAAATGACTGTAAAAGAATTTTCATGCACCTTTGTAAAAAGGGAGTGGTCGGCTTGTGATTGTTGGAAACCAAAGTTGTTGATGGCGGAGAGGAACTTGTAAAACCATGATCGTGAGGCTTGTTTTAAGCCATATAGAGATTTGTGAAGTCAACACACAAGTGTCTCCCCCTGTCGACGAATCCTGGAGGAGGATCCATGTAGACTTCCTCGGTGAGATCTCCATGTAAAAAGGCATTTTGAACATCCATTTGATGAAGACCCCAACCGCGAACAGAAGCAATAGCAAGGAGGCATCGTAGAGTTGTGAGTTTGGCAACTGGAGCAAAAGTCTCGTTGTAATCGATACCCTCTCGTTGGGTGAATCCTTTGGCAACTAGTCGGGCTTTGTATCGTTCAACGGAGCCATCAGAATTGTACTTTATTTTGAATACCCATTTGCATCCAATAGGATGGTGACCCATGGGAAGAGGGACTAGAGACCAAGTTTTGTTTTCCTCTAGTGCAACAATCTCAACCTCCATTGCTTCAATCTATTTTGGGTCTTTACAAGCCTGCTCATATGTTTTTGGCTTGATCAAGTGAGAAACATTGTAGACCAAGGTACGATGAGCATTAGAAAGGCTAGAATATGACACATACCTTGACATGGGATGGTGAGTGCTTGATTTAATCAGAAGAAGAGACGAGTCTATAGGCAGAGTGTAATTGATTTGATAATCTCTCAGATTAGCAAGTATGCGAGTTGGTCGGGTAGATCATCGAAAGTTAATTTATGCTTCTGTCAATGGTCCGGCAGGCCGGTGAGGGCTGTCCGGCCGGCCGGTTGAGTCAGTGATGATTTGTGATGGTGATTCGGTGGTCCTGTGGTCAAAGGAATCAGCTTCGGGCTCTATCATAGGCAAAGTGGTTTGGGGTGTATTGATTTCGGCATCTATTTATTTTGGCAAGGTTGGCGTGTTGTTTTGGTCTTCACGTGGGAGGTTAAAATATGGAAAAATATCCTCATGGAATATGACGTCTCGGGAGGTGATTAGTTTTCTTTCACTCAAGTCATAGACAAGATACCCCTTTTGCCCTGGTGGGTACCCCAGAAAAACACAATGTCATGCACGAGCATCAAATTTATGAGTGGGTTGTAGATTTGTGAAAAAACATAGGCAACCGTAAACGCGTAGATGAGAATAAGAAGGTATCTTTTTATGTAATCGTTCATATGGTGTCTTGTTGGATAGGAGTGGAGTGGGTAATCGGTTAATGAGGTAGCTAGCTACTTTAATATGTTCCCCCCAAAATTTCAATGGAATATTAGCTTGAAAACGTATGGCAAGAGCTACATTGAAAAGGTGACGATGTTTGCATTCAACTACCCCATTTTGTTGAGGTGTGCAAGTGCAAGATCGATGAAAATTGGTGCCATTTTCATTGAAAAAGGTTTGCAAAGAAAGAAACTCTTGTCCATTGTCAGATCTTAGGGTTTTAATTGAACAATTGAATTGTGTTTTTACCCATGCAAAGAAGTTCTTAATGAGGGATTGAGTTTCACACTTATGACGCATGAGATGAACCCAAGTGTAACGAGAATAATCATCCACAATAGTTAAAAAATAACGAGCTCCAGAATAAGAATAAATTCTATGTGGTCCCCAAATATCACAATGTATTAAATTAAAAGGTTCACGACTGGAAATACTACAAATGGAAAATGGTAAACAAGATTGTTTTGCAAGATGACAAACATCACAAACATTATTTGAATGAAAAGAAATTTCTGAAATAGTTTTAGATAATAACTGGAGTGGAGTGATGGAAGGATGCCCGAGACGCCTATGCCAAATATTGGATGTGTGGTGGATGTTGTTGGATAAGTGTGGGCTTTAGTTTGCTGTGAGATAGTATAAACCATTACTCTGCCTACCCAGTCCAATCGTCTTCTTCATAGTTAAATCCTGCATCACACAAAAGTCAGGATAAAATGTCACATTACAACCTAGAGCTTGTGTAAGCTTGCTAATAGAGACCAAATTCATTTTGAAATTTGGGACATAAAGCACATTGTCTATAGTCATATCAATGATTAATTTCATGGACCCAATGGATTTAATTTGAGCATGTCCTCCGTTTAGTAACTGCACAGTGGGATGTTTATATGTGAGTTCATTCGCAATTGGTAGATTTTTAGATACATGATCAGTAGCACCACTATCTAATATCCAAATATTATTATGGCTTGGATCAATACCGCTCAACGTTACCGGTTTCTTTGCGAAGAAGTGCCATGATTTGTTCATACTCCTTGGTCGTGAGTTGTTTGATTTCTTTGGTTTCTATATTAGAAATAGCTGGAGAGTTGATGGATTTCTTCCCTTTTGGTTTGACATCTTTCCTATGATATCTATGTCTTGGAGGAAAGCCATGAATGTAGAAACAATGATCTATGGTGTGTCCATCCATGTCACAGTGGCTGCAGTGAAGCGGTTTTTGACCTCCGGCATGTCGATTCTGCGTTTTCTGCTCTGCCCAGCTCGCAGTGTTTTATCCAGCAGTGTCTCTATTGGCCGCCACTTCACTCTGTCTCTCATGTTGCAGAACGAGAGCATGAACCTTCCGAGTGTCGAGAAGAGGATTCATCAAGAGTATGGAATCACGAATTGTAGAGAACGAGTCATGCAATCCAATGAGAAATTGCATAACCCTTTCCTTCTCTTTTCTTTCGGTGAGACCTTTGAGACCTCCACAGTTGTAGATAATTGGGTCATGATAAGAAGCTAATTCGTCCCAAAAAGTCTTCAATCTGGTGTAGTAGGATGATACAGATTGGTGTCTTTGTCGATGTTCCACAATCTCTTGACGAATTTCAAAAATTCTGGTGTCGTTCCCTTGTGAGAAGTGATCATATATATCATTCCACACCTCAGCTGCTGATTCTGTGTAGATAATACTACCAGCAATGTCAGAATGAACAGAGTTAAGGATCCATGAAAGTACCATGTAATTGCAGTGTTCCCATATCGGAAACTTGTCGTCAGTCTTTTTCGGCGCCTTAACTGTCTCGTTGATAAAACCAAGCTTGTTCTTGGCACTTAGAGCGATTCGCATTGCGCGGCTCCATTGCCCATAATTATTTCCATCGAGCAATTTAGAGATGAGAACCAAACTGGGATGATCGGAATGGTGTAAAGCGAGTGGATCCGATTGGTTGATTCCCTTATCCGTCTTCGAATTTTCATCTCCCATAGTTGCAGTGGAAATTATTTCTCAAAACCTATAACTCTCTGATACCATGTGAAAATTATAAAAAAGGAAGAAGAAAGTATTTGTGAATGTTTTCTGTATATTACATTAATGGGAGATTACAAGAGTATATATAGAATATTACAAATATGAAAACAATAATTGGTAATTACAATTGATTCTACAGGAAAAGGAAACTATCCTAAATTGATTTACATAATTACAAAAGTAGGTTGTGGGATCGTAACGGCACTGAGCAAGGCCAATGGAGGTCGTGGGATGTGGAGAGGAGTGGAGGGGAAAGAAGGTCTTGACTACTTGATAAAAGGGAGGGGGTGGTCGCAAGGTTGGTTGTGTGCGATCGCACAAAAGCTCCCATGATGACTCGTGTAGTGGCACTAAGGCTTGCTTGGTGAGAGGCATGTCATTAGTAGTGGGATGCCACTTTAGGGGGTATCGCCAGAGTAGTGGGTTGCTCTTGTTGGAGGTTTGTTTAGAGATTCAACTTGGAAGTTAGAGGGCTTGTTCGTTTGCATTCAAATTCAAAAAAAGTTTGAACTTAAGTTACAACTTTATTCAAGTTCATGTTCTTTTGTAAAATTTGAGTTTGAACTTGAGTTTTAACTTGAATTTTAACTTGAGTTTGAGATTAAAATCTGAGGGGTTGTTCTTTTATATTTTTGAGCTAGGATGACTTGAGTGATGATCTTGAGTTGAGTTTGAGTTATAAATTGAGTTGAAGTTGTAACTTTAGTTTGTGTTTGGATGTGCACATTTAAGTTATGATTTGAATTGAGAATCTTTTTAAGTTTGTGTTTGGGTGCGTCAAAACTTAAATTTGTATTTAGATAGTATTTTAATAAAAACTCAATGGTGATGAAAAATTTTATTAGGGTATATGGGTGGGGTTTTATTCATTTTTTCGTTGTGAATGCATAAAAAAAATCATCTCAATCAGAATTAAAATGAAAAAGTTATGACATTTTTAAAAATAGAAAAAATATTGTTCATTAACTTGAGTTCGAGTTTATGAACTCAAGTTGAAGGGGAAACTAACTTAAGTTTAGCCTCAAACTCGAGTTTAAACTCAAATTTTACAAAAGAACATGAACTTGAATAAAGTTGTAACTCGAGTTCAAACTTTTTGAGTTTTATTGCAAAAGAACAACCCATGAGTTCAAGTTTCTCTTTCAACTCAAGTTCATAAACTCAAACTCAAGTTAATGAACAATATTTTTTTCTATTCTTATTAAAAATGCTATAACTTTTTCGTTTTAATTTTGATTGAGATGATTCTTTTTTTTATACGTTCACAATGAAGAGACGAATAAAACTTCACCTATATACCTTATTAAAATTTTTCATCATCATTAAGTTTTTATTAAAATACTATATAAATACATACTCAAGTTTTGACCTACCCAAACACAAACTCAAAAAGATTCTCATATCAAATTATAACTCAAATGTACACAACCAAACACAAACTCAAGTTACAACTTCAACTTAAGTTATAACTCAAGTTCAACTTAAGATCTATTCTCAAGTCATCATAACTCAAAAATGCAACTGAACAAGCCCAGAGTTTCTACTTAGGTGAAAAGTTAAACAAGGAAGATTAAAGCAAATCAATGGATGAGATTCTTTAAGATTGTCATTATTTTTTGTTTTTGTTTTTAATGTTTCAATGATTAATTTTGTATTATACCTAAAAAGATGGTGGTGCCATGCATATGATATTTCTATCCAAATTTAATAAAGAAGATAGAAAGGACTAATGTTGCTATTAAAAATTAATTCGGGAAATTTTTTACCTTTATCGTCACAAACTTAAAAGTTCAAGAACTTCCAAAGCTATTAACCTTTTTTTTTCCCTTAAGATATGAGACTTTCTTTGAACTTATTTTTTTAAGAAAAATATATTTCAAATCATGAAAAAGTAATAGACAAAAACCAATTCACACTCAAAATTGCCACCTACTACATTAAACACGACGTTCTTTTTCACCAATAAATTTAAATAAAATGCTCAAGAAGAAATAGTCCATATTGAATTCCACAATCAAGTACACATATGATTTTTTGCTAGACCTAAAATCAAATGAAAATATCATGTCAACAGATGTCTAAGGGGTTCTTGTTTCGCAATGAAACTCAGAAAAAGTTTAAATCCGAGTTACAACTTTATTCAAGTTCATGTTCTTTTATAAAATTTGAGTTTGAACTCGAGTTTGGGGCTAAACTCGAGTTCAAGTTTTCCCTTCAACTCGAGTTCATAAACTCGAACTCAAATTAATGAATAATATTTATTTTTATTCTTAAAAATCTCATAACTTTTTCATTTTAATTCTGATTGAGATAATTTTTTTTCTATGCATTCACAACGAAAAGATGAATAAAACTCCACTCATATACTGTCACGCCCCCCAAACGGGGTGGGTGACATGGAGCTCGATTAGAGATTAATAAAGCAGACTCCCAGACCGGGCCCCACACTTTACTGCATTAAAATATAAATAAATTACAGAATCCCGGAGCCTCTGACACACAGTGCTCTACCCCACAGGACATACAGTATCGTACATACATGAATATGTAATTAATCATTACAACAGACATCAACTACAGTCTAGTAAATCCAATATTATATAAGTTTACAGAATTTCTCATATTCCCTACATTTGTCCAAAAGGCTGTCCAAGATCGTCACTTGATTCCAACAGCAGCACAACTCAGCTGCTCCGTAGCAAATATCCAGCTACTGTGCATCGCTCCTAGAATCTCCTGGGAGAGGTTTAGTACATTTAAAACATAAACCGTGAGCGAAAGGCCCAGTAGGATATAATTTGAAATAAATGTTATAATAAATGTACGAGGGAATACATAAATCAATAAGTAAATAAAATAAGACATTCAGTCCCGACAGAACAGCCGGAACCTCACATCCTTTTTCTCAAAGAAAATATAACCGTAAATAACCATTTTACAGGCTTCAGTAAGTAATTAGTACAAATTACTTACCTAACCAAGTGCCTTGCCTATCTAGACCGAGGTTCGGGTTCTGCCCCCGAGGATGCACTCTCCGCATCCTATCTAGGCTTACAGCAATAGACTCTATTACCAGTTCACAAGATCTCTTTGCTTAAGAAATCATTCATTAAACATTTTGAAATCGTTAATACGACCCCACGAACTACTCAAGCCACGGGCCCCATAACTGGACAAGCCATGAGGTTCCATGACTAAACAAGCCATGGTTTTCAAAGCATTTTCTTTCGCAAATCAATCCATTTCTTTAAAACATTTTCAAGGCCAAAATCCTTTTTGAAAACAGGCTCACAAGGAAAAGGGATAGAAATCCTACCTCGCACTATCAAACCTAGACTAGCGTTGCCTTTTCCGGCTTCTGCTTCCTCAAGCCCCTTCAGTTTGAATCCTCAGCGATCACTGATACAAAATAACACTTTAGGATCAATTCTCATTCCTAAAGCAATCCAATCTCACTTATGTACCAAGATTTTCAATTAGTGTGCCCTAATCCATTTTCATGTTTCAAATTCCATTCCAAGGGTTTTAATATCAAATCAGGGATTAAAGATGTTAATCCTTTCATCTCAAGTCCCCAAATGAAGCTAATTCAATTTCAAGGGTTTTCAATCTCAAACAAGGATTAAAGATGCTAATCCTTTTATCCCAAGTCCCCAAATGAAGCTAATTTGGGTTTTCCCCAAAAACAGGGGTCAAAACAACAATTTCAGGCCAAACAGGGTAAAACCCCGTGTACACCGGTCGACCGGTGACAGAGAAGTGCATCACCACCGGTCGGCCGGTGGTGTGCACACCGGTCGACCGGTCAGCCTGCAATCCGGTCGACCGCACAGGTCGACCGGTGGAATCAGCTGCGCGAGAGAAGCTCA